ATCATTAGTGCTACAAATGAAAAATAATAATAATAACATAAAGCCAGTTTCGTATATTTAAAATACAAAATAAATCCAACTAGTGTCTGATGATTAGTTTGCTTTTTTCAATTAAATTTAAATACTCAAAAAAAAACTTTAATGATGTGATCCAATTTTTAGTTGATGGAACAATTATGCTATCAATACTTGTAATTAATAAAATACTGATAAAATAACTAATAGAAAACAAAATTTAAATTTACTTTAATCAAACATTGTTTCACATAATTAGGTATTTTTTTAAAAATCTTTGAGTGATTTTTAGTTTTAAGGGATTCAGACAAACATGAAATCAGTGTTTGTTTTAACTTGAGAAAATAGTATTGCTGAAATTAATTTTGAGTAAAAAAATTATAAAAGGAATATTTCGTAACAAATATGTATAATTTCGTTCAAAATTATCTAAAACATTGATAAACCTAATGACGAATTCGAAATGAAAAAAGTGAAAATGAATTGGATAATCTATGAAAAATTATGTTAGTATTTTACTTTATGAAATTGATATTGAACTTCGAAAAACTTATTCGTCAATGTATTATTTTTATTAATCGTTGCTCATTTTTATGCTATGTAAAAAATTTCTTTGTCAATTTACAAAATGAGACTTTTAGAAAGAATAATTTATTCCTAAAAGAAAAAAAATATTATTAATGCACTAATTTCATTTTGACTTATGTAAGTGTAAATCTGGTTTTTATCTGTTTGTTTTTTTATGGAAAAAATAGTGGCAAGAATAATGGTTTATTAAATGCACGCATACACAGCCTCGTGTTTAATAATATTCTTCTCGAAAGATTAATTCTTGTACGTGTCCTTTTTTTTAAGTTAATAAAACATTATCGAAATATTTGTTTTCATTTGAATAAATGGTTAAAACATTTCGTAATAAAGTTTCAGTGTAATATTTTTACCATACTTCAAAGCACTCTACCGTTTCACCAAGAAAATCTAATTGCCAGGAACAAAAATTAATAAAACAACTTTAATATGCCGACTTTTGAAGCAATACAAAAGCGCAGCATTCTGAGAGGCTTGTACTGATAGAGAACCTATTAGCGAACAAAGTAGAAACGATATAATTACTTCCAAAACAACAAAACCTGCCACTCAACAGAAGCATTTTCCACACAATATCCCTTCATGATCCTAAACTTTCTTTCGATAAATCTGGAAATACTTTTTCATTATGTTCCTTACTCAGCCAAGTTAGGCCATAATGTGGCCTTAATTAAGTTTAATATTTTCTTAGCGTCCCGGAGCATGCGCAGTTGTGATTTGCTTTCAAAATGGGAGAAAATCATCGTTAATTTCAATAAAGTAATATCGCAGCTCCCTTCATTAAAGCTGCTATTTTTTTAATCTCTCTTTTCTTTGCTATCAATGTAGAAAATGGTCGACCTCGTTAAATTATGACAGGCCTTGGCAGCCGCGTTTAATTTTCTGCATCTTTTATTCATTTTTTTCTGTCAAGACTTATGATAAAGTAGCTTTCATTCTCATTTTGATAATATTTAAGCCCAGTTTATACGTTTCGCATGTTAATTAATTGCTACCATTAGCTTTTTAAAGTTTTTTTTTATTAAAATTTCAAGCGTGGAAATTAAGAAAGAGATTCTATGAATCAATACTTATAAATCATAATGTAGGGTTATTAGCTACTTTTTAGCACTTTTAAAAACGTTAAAATAAGTTTTTAAGTTTAATTTAAGCAGGCTTTTATCCATAGTTTTTTAAGACGCATTCACATTTAAATTATCATAAGCTTAAAGTAAATCATTTACTTTTGCCCTGCATACATATATTAGCATAAATATTTCTTTACTGAAAAGATAAATATTTTTTAATAGCTGCTTTACGAAAAACTTCTCAAGAAAAATAAATGGCATGAAAAAAAATTCTTTAAAACATTTTCATTAAATTCTTTATAGACATAAATTAAATTAAAAATTCTTTATAGATATAAATAAAAAATAATAAAATTCACTCTTTTTCCCAGATTTTACCAGACATTTCTTAAAATATTAATAATTTTAAATCTTTTTAAACCTCCAACTTTGAAACTTGTTATGAAGAAATTGAAGCGTTGTTTTATACACAGAGCAGAATTGCAGAGAGTACTCTCTCCTTCAGAAACATGCAAAAAAGAGACTTGGTTTTGCTGAAAGGCAGCCAACACTTTTTGTCCTAAAATATACAGCGCCACCCTTCGGCAGTAAGATTAACTAGTAGTTGGACAATAGATGTCTATTTTTAAATATTTATTTGAATGAATTTTTCTTATTTTTAAATAATAATTTTTTGTTTGTCTAATTTCAATAACTTAAAATTATTGAATTTGTTTTTAAAAGAATAACAATTGTTTAAATTAATTAAAGTTCATTTTTAAATAGCACTTTAAGTAAATTATGATTAGATTTCATTATTTTAATCTATCTATAATTTTCTTGTTCTTAAATTTATCTTCATGTTGAATGCAGCACTTATTTTAATTAAATAAATAATACCAAGAAACTGAAGTGCTAGACATGCACCGGTAATTCGTTTAAACTAATAGTGAAATAAATATCTTCTTTGCATCATATTGCTGTTACATAAATGATTTTTAGCAAATCACAAATATAAATTTGGTTTTTCTGTTTCTAGACAAATCTATCATTTAGTAATGTTAAATGAAAGGAAAATTAATTAAGTATATAAAATACGTCGGTGGAAGTAACTGCAAAATGTCTTCCATTAAAGCCCATTATTATCTAAACGTTTCCTCTTAGAATTGCTTGAAGGATCTATTTGACTAGAGCAGGAAGGAAGTTTGAAAAATGCATTGTTGTGATATCATAGGGAAATACTATTAATTATGAATATGGTGCATATGCATATATTCCATTCAAAGTATATTTTTTACCACTTTTTCGTTTTATAAACTTATGCTGTTCTTTAAATCGTTATAATTTGTTCTGAAGTTAAAGCTAACTATCAACAGTGACTTTTTAACTACGGTGATATTTTTCTATAGTGATATGCTAGCTTGATAACCTGAATGACTCAATGTATGTGCAATTGGAATTATACAATGTTACAATGAACAGAGATTTTCTTTGATCATATTCTATAAATAAAATGAAATTAAAATCACACCATAAATATTTTACAAGATCCTGGAACTTTAAAATAGAAAATATTGCTTTGTACCATTTGAAACAAATGTTTTAAATATAACTATGCAATCCGTATTTTATTCATAATTTAGAAAGTAATTTTAAAGAAACTAACCAAAAGAGGATTAAAGTATTGATGTTTTTTTAAAAAACAAATCGGCAATACATTCAAGTTATACTCCTACTGAAATTTATTAATCTGTGTTATAATTGTCCATTCATTGCATTTTAATATATCTAAATTGCAGTAATCTGAAAATTTACTTACAAAAAGAATATATCATCTATAAATTTTTACAAGCATATAAATGTTTAACGAATACTAGCATAAAACAGAAAATCATAGTTAAAATTTATACAAAAGTGAATTGTTTGGTAGATCTTTGCAATGTAGTAGAAGTTGAAACTAAATCGTTTTTAATAAATGTTAAACTGTAAAATGTCATTTTTTTACATTATAGCTGTGCATTTTATTGTTTAAAAACACTTTTTTTCATCAAATGAGTGTGAATCCTAAAACAGCATTTTTATAATTCTAAATTTTGCTAGTAGGAATTCAGTCGAAATTTACACAATATAAACTTTTAATAAAATTTACAAATGATGCCTCTTCTGAAATTAAGAGCTTTAGATTGAATTTTGATATGTTAAACATGGAATAATACTTATTTTATTACATCTTAAAATATCTTTCCTTATTTTTCCAGTTGTGTTTTTAGCAGCTTGATGCTGTCGTATCTTGGAAATTTAAATTGTAAACTTTTTCTCCTCAATTTTCATTATTATTGTATTTGTATCTNTTTTAAATCTAGTTTAACTTCAATATTTTAAAAACAATATCTGATTACCGTAATCCCCAAATGTTAGTTGAATTAATGATTAGCACTAATGATTAATTCATAAATGTTTTGAAAAATTCATTTCTATTTCCTACTTACTGGTTTGACATATTTATCCAGTGTGCAATGCTGTAACTTTTTTAACCATATATACATTTTCTTTCATTATTTAATTTCTTTTTCTCTTTTCATTTAAGTTTTAGTTTGCCCAATTGACAGGATATTTTATATTTAGCACTTAATTAAGTCGTTTGAATAAAAAATATTTAAAAAATTAGGGCTGGAATTCAACAGGAAAGAGCCTATTATTTATTACATTAGATATCTGAAATACTACAACACTGAACGTAAATTTTTTATTCATTATTATACTCAATTATTAATACTCAATTATTATACTTTATTAATACTTTATTACAATTATTAATACTTTATTAATACTCAATTTTCAAAAGATATTTAGGTTAATTATATTGCATATACTTAGAATACAGTACGTAAATTAAATGTTTATATCGTACGTAAACTAACTTCCTTTTTATGTTTAGCAGAATTTCTCCTTTTTTTTTCAAGATGTGTTTGTTAATTACTTAAACATTAAATATACTGCTATCTAAAGCGGTTATGGTAAATTTTAAGTAAAACTATATGTCATTCAATAATATTATAAATTGTATAATTGAAAGCTTAATTCTTATTTATTTATATTATAAATCAAAATATCTAAAACATACTTTCTAAAATAATAATTCTGTGAATGCCATCAATTTGTTGAAAGAACTAAAGGTTAACAAGGTCCGTAAAAAAACTCTTTACAGTGTTTAATAATTCTTTACAATATAACAAATGTTAAAAATAGTTTTTCCATCATTTATTTTTAAATTTAAATTTCAGTTTTTCCAATTTGCAGGAAATTTTTAAAACTTAATTAAACAGAGTGAAAAAAATTATGAAAAATTTATTATTGAAAACTATAGCTGAGATTTATGAGGATTTTGGTTATATATCAGTTATTTGAAATATTATAACACTGACCGTAAATTCCTTATTTATCTTATTCGCATATTTTATTGTTTAACGTTTGTAAACGAATTTTTCTTCTTTTGAAACATTTTTTATAATTACATCAATAGTAATTATATAAAACAGTAATGTTAAACTCTAGGCAAAACTATATTATGTAATAGACATCATTAACTGTACCATAAGTAAAAGCTAAATTATGTGTTATACATAACATAATTTAATATGGCATTTTTCAATCTGTCTAAAACATACTTGCCGAAAATTTGAGTTATAAAAGAAGCTTCTGTTAATGCGATCAGTTTGTTGAAAAAAAAATAAATGTCAAAAATGTCCGTAAAATAACTTTTCTCTTTTATATTTTACAGAATTTTTCCCGTTTTTTTTTCGGGTAACAACTTCATCCCTTCCTGAGAATCCAGGACATAAACTGCTCTTTTCAATTCAGTAGGAGATCATCAGTTTCAACGTCAGATACTGACAGATCCAAATGACGGCAATGAAAAGTTGGTTGAAGGCAGCCATTTCTCTTTCTGTTGCTCGGTTTCCAGAACTTAGAGATGTAATGAAATCTAGAAAGAGGAAGTGTGAAAAAAAAAGAATTTTTGTAACATCTTTTTCAAACAGGTTGCATTCACATAAATTTTGACTTTATTTCGAGGAACAAAATAAAATTGGCACATATAGGCAGCAGGAAAAAGTGTTGAGTTGGAAAAAAAAGAACTAAAGATTTTTACATCAATGCGAATAAAATGGTGTTTCCTAAACACTTTAATAAATTGATAAAAAATATTATGTACGTAATGTATACACATATCGATGCTGTATATTATAATATTAAATAATAGCTGGTTATACATAACAATATTTTAAGTTGTTTTGATACGAAACAAATAAAGTACATTGAAAAGAAAACACCTGAAAAATTACGGTAAAAAGTTCCGACATTCAGTGTGTCAGTACATATTACGTAAAATTCATCTTTACCCTACGGAACAGGATATCTGATGTACTCCAAATTTCAAAGTAATATTTACTGAATCACTGTAATTCAGTAAATATCACTGTAATTCAGTAAATTAATGTATACAATTTTACTGTAAAAATGGTTTTTACAAGAAAAAGTTCTGGCACCGTGAAATCCGGTAATTTTTAACATAATTTTTCAGAAATTTTCCTCTTTGCATATAACATGTATTTTAATATCATTTATTGTAAACAGGGATGACTTTGTTAATGCAAGTTAATTTATTTTATGGTTCTTATACTTATACAGATCGAGCATTTTACAAATTTTTTTTTTCTAGTTATAAAACAAATTAGCATGAAAATTGTTAAACTGTGTAGCAGTTAACAACTAAAAGAGGAAGAAAAATATTTTAGCAAAGAAAACAAATTATTATTTATGAAAGCACCTTCTGTTTAAAAAAAAAAGTCTTCTCATCGTAGGTTGACTTTGCGTGAAGTTAATCAATGGTTTCAATTTTGAATAACAACATTTTCGGAATAACAAATTAATGAAAAAATAAAAATAAAAACTTCTTTTTAATTTCAAAATATCTTTATCATTTGCTTTTAAATTCCTTAAATAATTTTGAAAACGCAAGCACCTCATTTAATATATCAACAATCAAATTAACTAATTCCTTATTTCAATCAGCTTGGGTAGAAATTCAGTGGATTTATAAATTAATAAATATATGAAAAACCTTTATTTATAATTCAATTTCTATCTTACATTTAAAGCATCTGTCATTGGGAAAACCTCAATCAATGCGTCAAAATTTAAGTAAATAAATTCTTATTTTTACCAACTTAGGTAGAAATAAAGTGGATTTATTTAATCAAGTTTAATTCTCATTACCGAATTTCTGCCTTTTATGCAGCTAAGGATATTTCTAAAATGTATGTAGCTAGGTAATAAAATTCGTTATTAGAGATAACAAGCTACAGGCTTTTAACTGAAAATTTAAATTTTTAAATCTAGTTTAACTTCAATATTTTAAAAACAATATCTGATTACCGTAATCCCCAAATGTTAGTTGAATTAATGATTAGCACTAATGATTAATTCATAAATGTTTTGAAAAATTCATTTCTATTTCCTACTTACTGGTTTGACATATTTATCCAGTGTGCAATGCTGTAACTTTTTTAACCACAGCAAAATATGGTTCAAAATAAACATTTCTAAAGATTATGTGATGACTTTATAGTATTATGTAAATATACTTTTTATTTATTGATATGTTTTGAATAATTTTTCATGATTGATTGATTCCATCTGCATGCAAAATTTTCAACGCATGATCATAAAATATCAAGCTAACGTTACACATCAATTCTGTAAATTAAGCTTAAAAAGACCTACTAATGTTACATTTCTGTAAGGCTGAACCCCATAAAGATGAACATATAAATATAGCTATTATTTGTCATTCTTTTTATTATATTATAAATTTTAAGACTAAAAAAAATCACGAGCTTTTTATTACTAATAAAAAATAATACAGTTAGTTTCCATTCAAGTGGTGAAAAAAATTATATTTTTATCATAATTAAGAAACAAAAATAATCCCCCCCCCCACATTGGACTTACTGCTCTTTTCTCAGTATCTTTTTTTTTCATTTTTTGATAGTAACGTCATTGAGATTTCGTTATTTTTTACTTTAGACATTTTTCCTTTATCATAATTCCTTTACCATTGAAGTTAGTTGATCATTTTTAGGTTCTATTTTATATTATAAAATATAAAAAATTAAGGGTTCGAAAGCAGGAAATTTCACAATTAGAAGTATTATATTTTTGTTTTTAAATTGAAGAAAAAAATTTAAAAAAATACAAAAAGGAGAAAAAAAAATCAAAATCAAAGCTGAACACTTTCAGTTACATCAAATATCAGGGAAAAATATTTAAGTTTTCCTTTGTTTTCTATTCAATCAAAACCCATGAGATTGTTGACCACTTACTAAGAGGAAGATACTAAGCAAAAGTTCAGCAAGGAAGATTCTTTTTGAAATGTTCATATTGAACTTAGTTCAACTGTACTTTATATTACAGACTTTACTATACGTGAATACATTTATTCATGTATTCAAAGGGCTAGTCTTATTTTTTTAAGGTTGCCGATAATAACTGTATTCAAACATTTTTTAAAACAAATTCGATGGCGAGGAGAATTTAAAATTCTCTTTGCCTGTTTTAGACGACAATATGCAATATTAAGAAGCATGGAACTTTTAATCACGCTTTGTAAATTTTTTAGATTGAAAGTTTCAATGCATTTAAAATATTTTAGTTCCTCTATTAAATATATTAAGAATTCGGAAACGGATAAGACACGATGCATGTCTATACCTGTTTTCCTTTCGAAATCAAATATTCTACCTTTTGCCAATTCATTTTCATTAATAAATTCAAGATATTATTAAAATGTGGCAAAAGGGTTCAGTAAATATGCAAAAGTATTTTTAAAAAATAAGCATTATAATATCCAGTTAATACAAAGGGTTTTATCTTATATCTTGGTTACCAACAAACACTATATACAAATATATTTTTTTAAAAAAATACGCTATGGAAGAATTTCAAATTCTCCTGACCAAGTCGACTTTGATTTTATGCAACAATGAAGAAAATTAAGTATGGAAAGTTTTAATGTTTTAATAGCTATTTTTATTTTATTTTATTTAAAGTTTAAGTGCTTTGAAAATTTTATTTTATCACTTAAGAAGTTGAAAAAGGAACTAGACCATATGCATGTAAAAAACTATTTTTATTTTAAAATCAAATATTCTACCTTCCAGCAATTCATTTTTATTAATAAATTCAAGATTTTCTTAAAATGCATTCAAAAGGATTCTGGAAATATGCAAAAATGTGAAAAGGAAGAAGCAATATATTATTCAAAGTATACAAAAAGATTTTCTTTTCATTTAAATTTAGAAGAATGACAATACTAAAAATTTTTTTAATGCATTTACTATGTCTGAATTTCAAATTCTCCCATTTTTCTTTAATTTTAAAACGATAATATATATTAAGCATGAACAGTTTTAATCACGATTTTTAATTTTTTCCCTTATTAAAAGCTGCAATGCTATAAAAATACTTATTTTTGAATTAATCTTAAGTTAAAAAAGAAGAAGACCAGGTACATTTCGAAACCTATTTTAATTTTAAAATCAGATATTCTTACCTTCCTCGAATTCATTTTTAATTATAAATTCAAGATCTTTGTAAAATGCATTCAAAGGATTCTAGAAATATTCAAAAATGTATTAACGAACTAGCAATTTTTTTATGCAATGCTTGCAATGGTCTTTTCCTTTTTATTTTAGTTGTAAACAGTAACTAAATTCAAATATTTTTAAAACATGTACTATGGTAGAATTTCAAATTCTTCTCGCCTCTTTTTCTTAAACTTCAGACTATAACGCACAATATCAAGTAAACATTTTAATCCCAATTCTTTATTTGTTTACTTATAAAAGGTTTTAATGCATTAAAAATATTTTATTTCTTATAATAGTTTAAAAAACGTAAATAATTTTTTAACTCTTTTTCTTCTACTTCAGACTATAATACACAATATCAAGTAAAAATTTTAAACAAATTTTTTTTGTTTACTTATAAAAAGTTTTAATGCATTAAAAATATTTTATTTCCTATAATAGTTTAAAAAAATGTCAAAATTATTTGCAGAAGAAGTCAAAAAAGAACAACACTAAATGCGCTTAGAAGCATATTTTTACTCTAAAATTAAATATTCTACCTTCCAACAAATAATTTTAATAAATATATTCAAGATTTCGTTAAAATGTATACAAAAGAATTCTGGAAATATGCAAAAATGCTTAAATTAACATTATTCAAAGCATACAAAGAGCTTTTCTTTCAAGTTGCCAACAATGACAATGCTCAAATATTTTTTTTCCTCGCCTTCTGTTCTTCTTGACTTTCAGACTACAATATTAAGCCTGAAAGGTTTTAATCACGATTTGTTTCACTTTTTAAAAATTTCAATGCGTTAAAGTTACTTTAGTTCTCATAATAAATTTAAAAAAAAAACATTAAAATTACTGTCGGCAGAAATTAAAAACAAGACTAGATACATTTCGAAACTCATTTTTATTCTGAAATCAAATATTCCACCTTCCGCCAATTCATTTTCATTAATAAATTCAAGATGTCATTAAAATGCATTCAAAAGTGCTCTGGAAACTCGACAATTTGCTAGTTGGATGGAGGCCAAAGGAATATCACGGTCTCTACTTACTCGATATACTCTGCCTCTCCAGGTGAGAGCTTTTGGGCAAGCGACTCTCTTTGGTGTTGGTATTCCTCATTAATTCATAGCTGGCATCTAGAGGTAAAAAGAAAAGTTTTACCAGCAGAGACTGATAGCACGAGTACGAGTTATTAAACTGTTCATTCATAATAATCTTGATGAAAGAATGTTAGTTATGATAAAGGGAAGTACTCTTTTAATCTTGGTTGAGTTTTTTTATGGCTTGGCATTTTTGATGATATAAATTATGATGAAGAGAAAGTATCAAAGAGAGTTTGAAGCATAATCCTAACTTTGAAGCGTTAAAGTTCTTGAGAATTTTTTTTTAGTGTTTAGTTATGTTTAAAGGATTTAAAAGTTTTATGCAAGATGATTTTTAGAATTTTAATTAAAATTGTGCTTACTCATTAATTCTTTTTTTTATTTAATCTTTAATTTTATATTTTTTTATTCCCTCAAATTTCCCTTAAAATGTGTTACTTTATTTTATACCGATTTGTTTGTGGTCTACGGTTAAGGTATTATGCATCGTATTCTTCAAATACAATGCACAACTAATGCAAAATATCATTTAATTATGACCGTGATACTATTTTAAAAAAAGGTGTAACTTAAAATAAAGCTTGCTCAATAAATTTAACTTTAATTTATGTTTTCTTTAACTCTGAATTTAATTCTCTAGTTGAGTATGAGTCTTTAATTTCGTTACTATTATCCTTATTATTCAAATAAAATTCACGGATCAGTTAAGATATCATTATTTACTTACTACCGCACGTTTTTCCAGTATATTTTTATTTTAATGTATATTTCAGTTCTTGTAACTGGAAGACACATCCAAAAAACCATTAAATTTTGCAACCCATCTCCTACAAAACAATGTTTTTATGTTTCTTTCAGCGTTTAAGTAAACATTTTGATGATTCTTACAATTAAATATATAGATTATACCATATACGAATTATAATAAACTTTAACTTCTTTTGAGTTAAGTTGCTTTGTTTGAATTTATGATTTATTGTTAACTTGTTTGAATTTATGCTCGGGTGGTTTAGGTCTTACAATAACTCTCAAGATAAATATGAGTCCTTAATTCCAATACTATTGTCCCTATTAATGAAAGAAAATTCACGAATCATTTGATATTTCCTTCTAATGTAACTGAATTTGTGAAACGTGAAAAAAGCCTAGAAATCAATTAAATTTTACAGCCCAACTCTTATAAAATATTATTTTTAAATTTTCTCAACTCTTAGGCAAATACTGTTGTTATTTGAAGGATTCTTGCAATCAAATATTTAGTTTCTCCTATTTACGAATTATAATAAACTAAATTCAACTAGAGGTAAGCTGCTTTGTCCAAATTAATACTTCATCCAATGACAATTGCTTTTATAAATAACTAAAACCGCTTTGATGTACTTGTACGCTTGTCATTGAACCTGTAACCCCTTAAACACGTAAAAAGAACCACCTTAACTCCACTCAAAAAATTTGTTTTTTATCGAAACATTTTTCCTTTGGAATGTACTGAATAAAATGATAATATGTGTGCATTGGTTGGAGAATAATATTGTGTGAAAAAATTTATTGTTGAAGATTTTTCGTTTGCAATTATACACCGAGAAAAAATTATGCTCAAAACTACCAAAATATGGTTGAATTTACGGTGTTTCTGGTTCAATGGGAAAGCTAAAAAGCTTGGCAAGTTTTACCGAAGCGCTATGTTAATGATTTTCGTTAAATTATCTTCGGTTAACTTATTTAAGTTAATGTGGTTTTAATAACGTGTGATAAAATTCGGTAATTTTATCCATGGCTTAAAAGCCATTTATTCGGTTTTATTTAAAACTCAATTTTGAATTTTTTACTAACCGTTAGGAAATAAGAACTGTACTTTTGAAAGCCAGAATTTCCGATAAACCGCTACTATATGAACAGAAAAAAGTTCCAAATTAATGGATCAAATATCGTTATGCTTTGGTTTTATTAAACACAATCTTGTATTTTTTTCAAACACAATTGTCATGACCATACAATATGGTAATTTTACTGCAATTTCTTTCACTGAGTAAATATACATTTATTTCATACTAATTTTCGTTCTGAAAGAATATAATAAGCTACGAAAAGCTATTGTTTCCATATTTTTAAATTATTTATTCTTTTCAATATCGAGGAATAATTATAAGACTTTTGTGGCAAACACTTTTAAGTTGAGTATTTGACTGTTTAAATACTTACAAAGTGAAGCAATGAATGTAAATATAAATTAAATAATAATTAAATAATAAATAAAAAAATAAATAAAATGAAAAATGTAATTAAAATAATGTAATTTTTAAAAATAGTTTGAGAAGTAAGCACTTTTTTATTATTTATTATTAAATAATCACAAGATGCCATTCACTTAGTTTAATTAATTATTATATTGCTATATGTTTTGTTTAATTGATTTCCTTGAGAAATGCATGCATTATTTTTTAATGCAACGCAAATATTCTGATCTAACTAATAAAATATTTTTCCAAAACGACAATAAATATATATATATATATATATATATAAAAAAAAAAAACTAACTCAGTGGCGCGACAGCCCATTAAGAGGGCCAAGGCCGACTGTGCCCATCTCAGTTTTCTTGACCTTGGGCTCTGGGGTGCAGGAGCATATGTTCCGGTTAGGTGGTCAGCCGAACGCGGAACCCCCAGTGTTATATATATATATATATAAATCTTAAAAATCTAATTACCGCTATTCGTTTAGGATATTTGCAGTTTACATCCTTTCATTTAAATTTAGAGAAAGGCATTTAAAAATACATGTGTGTTCATTAACAAATTTTTGAAATGAGGTAAAAAATCTAACATTTATCTTTATCGTTGGAAACTTTACAATGTTTAAATAAAAAACTTCTCCAATTTTGTCAACAAACAGTTTTTTTTATTTTCCATTTTTTATTTTCTGGTAATTTTATTTTTTTAATTCGCTTAGAAATGTGACAGAACATCGGAAGTGTAAAAACATCTGCCTATATTGTCTCGGTTCACAGTATATATTAAAGCTCTTAAATTTGTTTCAAATTTTGTTCTATTATGTTTTTTTTTTTCCTTCTTTTTCTGGTAAATATCTCTTTAGTAATATATTTGAATCCATTTTCCATGAATTTAATTGACTTTATATCAAACTTCTTTTGGAATTGAAAAATAAACTAAGAAAGAATTTTTAAAATAAGTTTTATTATTTAATGAGTGTTTGAAAAGCACTTATAGCCAGATAACATTTCCTGAAGCTGGTGGTCAGTTTTAGTAGTTCACTTAAAAATAAATTTAATTATGCTTGAACATGTCTTCTGAATTCCATGCAATAATAAATAAATGACGCTTGCATTATGCGTTATGCGGAGTCATTTTGAAACCCTGGTCAATTTTTTCAGTTTTATTTTCGTCCCTAATAAGTTCCTAAATAAGGCAAGGTAAATGTCACTTCTATTGTGCCATTTTACTCAGAGCATTTTCAGAAAAACTTACTTATTAACAAGAACTGGCAAAAAATGTTCCACATCTTTAAACTTGTTTATAATTGTGCTATTGTTATTCATTATTTTTGTTTCTCTTTCTTTAGTTTCATTAGTTTCAAAATAGAACTTAACTGTTTTCCATGAACATAAAAAAGATAAAAAGAATATTCCTTATCAATTAAAAAGTGAAAATATTTAACTCGATCGCAAAACTGTTCAGAAATGATTAAAAAGTCATTAAAAACTAACAAGCAATTAACTCGGATTTTCAACTGTTGATTATATTTTTTGTATTATATGCAAAAACTATTTGGTTATGATTAAAGAAGGAAATTATATTTGATGTAATAATGAATTATAAAATATTTAAAATTTATGTTATTCATGAAACTTTGGCATTTGAGCCTACTTTTGCAGCTTTTGTAGAAAACGAGCTTTGGTTTTTGACAAGTTTCGAAACTAAGCAATACAACTGTCATAACAAAATAAAAAAAATTCTCCAATACGACAAATTAACAATCCTCAAACAGTATTTTGTTATTTTTAGCAATAATTTAGAATTGAAATCGTGAGATTTTCATCAAAAAGTGGGCTTGAGAATTTAATAAAATTGCTTCTTTATTCTAGTGTTGCCTCAAGGATTTTTAGAACTTTGCCGTAAAGAAATGTTTTCTGTAAATTATACTGTTATATTGATAGAGATGCCATGGTATCCTTTCCTTTTCATTCGCAAGTAGCACTAACTGAACTTTTTTCTACCGTATTTCTCCATATTTTTTATTATCAAAACATTGAAACTATTTTAAAAGGTTGGTGCATTAATAATTTTTTTGTTTTTCTAGTAAATGGGATAAATTATGCGCATTAATTTTATGAAATGATTATATTTAACAATTACAAATGAAATACTGTTAGTGCTTAGAATTAAGCATAATTTGTCGAAAATTGAACCTTATTTAATTTTTACATAACTATGTATTGTGATAATAAATCGGTCGTAGTGGAGAATAGTAGAGTTAAAAGAAATAAAGAGTTATGAGCAATACGAGTTTATATATATGTTTTAATTTTAAATACTAGTTTGAAAATTCAATTTGTATTTCTTTATATATCATCATGTTAGCTAAGATTAATCATTTTAATATTGCTCCTCAAACACATTTTTTTAACCCTATAAAATATTTGAAACAGCTCATGTATTGATTTCATTGCATTTAATTTAGTAAAATATCTGCAAAGCTCTACAAGACGTAAAAGTTAATATTCATAGTACTTCTGTATTTAATATTTCGACATGTTAAGGAAAATCAAGACACAGAGCTATGATTTTCCTTAACATATCTTTCGTCTCAAGGAATTTTTTATATTTTTAGAATCAAAATTGTAAGGTGGTTTTGAATAAATTATAGTATTGACCAAACCTCACTGATTTTTATTTATAATAACTGGTAAGTATGATAAATTCTATGAAGATTATTAATTTTAACTAACTTACTTGATTATTATTAATAATACACAGCTAATTAATATTAATAACTAAAGATTAATTTACTGA